GAATTATTTTCACATAAACCTCTGCGCTGTACGCAATATAGGTGTAGTTATGTTAGTATAAGATAATAAGATGTATTTTGTTCATCCAATATCGGGAAATTGTGTTGTTATGAAATTAAAAAAAACAACATTTAAAAAAAAATTCTAAATTTTTTTTTTTTTCTCCCCAATTTTTGATTGGTTGATGCGCCCTTAGCATTTGCCTATAGAGCCGGCCCTGCGTCCCAGCAGGAGAGGATACACAAAAGTTCAGAGACTTAGGTTCCACTACATACACACAGAAGTACAAAAGTAAGACTTACTGATTAATTGAATAGAATTATAAATACAAACGTTGACCAGTTTTAGCTTCTCAAATGCAGGTATTGCAAGCTTTTAAAAAAAGTGTATTCAAAAGTCTTGTCTCAGATCAAAAGGAGTACGAAGATCAGAATAGTATCTTGCTTAGGTGTTTTGTGTTGTTGCGAAATGAAGAGAAGTCTGTATTTCATGCATCATTGGTGTGACTCATGAAAAAGAGAATCTATTGTTGGAGCTTGTTCCATCGTGTTGTTTTCCAGACGAAGCTTCGACGGGCCCTTCATGCTCTAATTGATTTCATTAAGTGGACGTTTTCCCCTTTGGCCGTGCCCATGCTCAGACCGTCAGTGTGCACACAAACATTGAGTTATCTCACCCCGAGCACAAGCTTGACTTATCTGTCTTTCACAGAGCGATCCACGTTCCTAGCCCCCCCCCCTCCCCAGAGCCTCACAGCCCACGCTACATGCATCCCTCTGAGGATCGGCCTCATTAACAATCTCTCCCCATTCCTGTGGACGCTTCCGAAGGCATCGGTGCCGTTATATCGAGCGATGAAGACGCTTTACACGCGCTGCTCACATTTTGGGATGGGCCGACACATAAATGCTGGTTTTCTTTATTTCTATAAGCTTGTCAGTTATAGTCATTTTAACATTATTTCTATTGAAGCAAACCAACCTGCACATCTCAAGATTGATGCCATGCAATCTTTTCATTCCCTCTTTTTGTATTCTCGTGTTTACTACTAATGTGCAGTGCCCAATGAACTATGAACTTTAAACTCTAATGTTGGCCGGGGGTGAGCTGCACGCTGACTCGAGCCTCCTCCATGGCTCGTGTGTTTCCAGCTGTTCTTTTCACCTGCCAGCTATAAACTTCACCAAGAAGCAGTAGTGTGTTTAAGCGTTATGCAAACCCCTCGGTTCCTCCCTATCCGGTATGTCTCGCTAGGACAGCGGCTGTTACAGACACAACGTGCCCCTCACTTCAACAGGTTGACATTACTAACATTTCTGCCTGCACGTTTTATCAGGATTTATCTTGTTAAATGTTCATTTAGTTGATGAAAAAGTCAAATGAAGTTATTTGAATGTAGACTGGTTAATGTGCTTTAAGTTGGGGTCTCTTTCCCCAGTCCAACAAGACCATAACAGTCTTCTTAAGCTTTGTGTTGCTGCCTGTTATTTCATATTGAAAGAAACATATTTCATCTTCTGCCGCTCATTTCATTTATAGATTGAAGCCACAGGCCACAACTAGAAATACTTTTGAACCAAAATCCTTCATGCTCTCCCTCTATATTATATAAGAGCTTAGTCCTTGTAGTGTTATTGAGCAGAAGTGAAGAGTGGGATATTGTTGATATTTCTAGTCAACGCAGCATTACGTTTTAGCAACAATACAAACAATTTCGCCAGTTTTGTAGAACAAACATTAGTGAATTGTCTTGAGAATGGAATCTAGTACTTTCATTGTGTGGACTCTCAGCTGGTGATCTCACAATTTGCACACCTCCATCCATGGATCATTGAAAAGCTTGCTTTGCAAATGGTTGGATTTAAAATAGTGCACTGTTGCTTTCTGTGCAACACGGTGTGAAACGTCTGTGTTACAGGATCTATAAGCACGCGTCTGATGACCAATGGCTTGTTATTCAAAGTATTGTATTTTCCTCATAATGAAAATCCCTCAAGAGCAAACACATTGACTCGGACGGCTTAATCCTGCAGAGAGAACAGGAAATGTTTCTCCAACTTAATCCCCACAGGATAGTTAAGAAATCTCCCACTACACACAGAGAATAAGAACGTGAGAGTTTCTGAAGGTGTAAAAATAGTGTGTGTTTGCTGGCTCGTGCGCTACGGCAGGGATTATATGGATGAAATTCAACTGGGGTGAAAACCTCCCACCCGCCCTGCTGCTTCTACAGTGCAGCCGCTAAACAATGTTGTCAGAATTACAGAATGACAAAGACGAGACACGGCACAGAACAGCTCCATTGTAGCTGAGAGCTGACAGGCGCTGGTGTGCAGATCTAATATTATTACATGGTAATACTTTCTATCTGTCTCTGCTCTGTGTGCAGGACTAACAGCTTGAGACGGCTTAGCCCCGCACGGACATCCAGCCTCCGCTTTCATGTGAATGTGATGGATAACCCTGCGTTGTTAACTCAATAACATGGCTCAACAAACATGTAACCAATCGTGCTATGATGTTCTGTAATATTGTTAACAATAGAGTGGTGCAGTCACGCGTCCTAAAACCCGGAAGTAAGCTTCTTCCGGTTCCCTCGACAAAAACGCAATGCATTTTCTCCATAGGATTTGGGAAAATATCTGGAAATAAGCTCTGTGGTTGAGACACATTTAAGAGACGGATCACGTTTTGTTCAGTCGGATAATCTCCACATGTGTACCCTACTTTTATAATTTTCTAAT